GTTGCTACAATAATTGTTCTTTTAGCTCATAAAGCCGTAAGTTATGGGGCTTGAGACCGCTAGTGTACTTGGTAAGTCTTAACACTGACGACTTCAAATCCAGAATCCCCCAAAACCTTATACACCCATCCCTATGAATCATGACGTGGACAGAGCACGTCCATAGTGAAATCAATACATAAATGAAGTCGTAAGTTACGACGTAAAATAGGCGGTTCCTGCAGAGGATTTCTGGTAATAGAGGGGTTTAGTGGCTCGTGTTGTTCTACTTGTTCAATTATTTACACTTAAAAGAGATGGTAATTCAAAAACAAGACAAACTGTTGTGACGAAATGAAGGGGCCTTTATGTTTAAAAACATTATTATTGGTCAGAACTCCTACAATTATGGTCTGCTTCTGAATACCAATGAGACCAGACTAATTTAAGACGAATCAAAGCCCTTCACGACAAAACTTGGCATTTCGAGACGCTAGGCCAAGTGGAGTGGTACCCACAGTTGCGACGTTGTAACAAAGGAGAAACGAGAGGCCAGTGGTAGCAGCTGAAAATCAGTATTGTGCATTCTAAATGGATCTGTTATCAAAAATACATGATTACCGCTACATGACAGCTTGAAATTTGAATTGAACGACTCAGACTGTTACAGCTTCAAAAATATCCAAATATTGTTAGTGTTACCCACAACAACAGCTCGTTGACATCGCAACTGAGCAGACAGAGAAAAGCGACTGATTGGATTTAAAACCGTTTCGAGAAGCTTAGAATGATGAAATTTTTTATTTACTGCTGACATTAGGTAAGTTTTATTAAAATTCAAGTTGGAAACTTGGCATATTATCCGGAGCTATCCATAATGTTTACGAGCGTGACTTCTGAGCTTGCTCCACACCGTAATCGCTCGTATGCATACAGTAAAACGTTTTCTCTTTCCCAGACTGTACCAATAACTCCACAAGGACGGGACATTTTCAAACTGGTTGGGAAAAGTTGCAGACATGGTGCAGTTTCGACCAAACACATTACTCCAGACATTAAACATACTGTCTAATATTAATTTCTTAATAGCGCCCTACCACTCCGATCCATTGGACTTGTCCCCTTTAATTCCTCCGCTACCAACGTCGTAACTTGCGACTTTGTGAAGGGCGAAAGTAGTAAGTTACGACGTAGAATGAGATTTAAACAGCAAATGGCTCGAAAAAACGGAGACCATACTGAAAACAAGTTTAAATTTACGAGAAAAAGTATAAGCTGGGAGAGGCCAAATCTGGACCGGATAAAGAAAGGGTGTGTGTGTGCTGCCGATCGCTCTCATGTGATGAGTCCTCAGATCAGGTCAGTGGCTGGTGGCCATTCCAGAATTAGCCAGCATGGCAAGAATCCGGTCAAGCGCGACTACCAGAGAGACAGCGGTCGCCGACGCTGTGCGGGCCGTTGACTTCAAGCACCTTTGTCGACAGCTTTGGGCAGCGGGCTGGACGTCTAAGCGCCCTTCAGAACTTTCAAACAAGTGGAGGTACTCCTCGCCCAGCGGACAGTCATTCGCTGGTATGTCAAGTTTCCTTTATTTCATCGGGTGTATCTCTACTAATATCTACGCAGGTGAATGTGATGTGGTAACCTTCGTGATTGAGTCCATCTCTCTGTGGATAGCAGTGATGACAGCAGTACGGAGGCCGACGGAGGAAGTGTGGTCGACGGAGAAATTGCAGCTGACGAGACGGTGACGGCATCCCAAATAAACACGTCCATCATGCTATCGGCGAGCACGATCGAGGACATGTTTGACTCGAGCAGTGAATCCGACATCGAGGAGACAGCCGCCCCGGTCAATGATAAAGCAGATGCTAGCAGGGTCTCAGTCGGCGACGACGGTAGCGATACCGCTGACGACATCCCGAGCGTAGACGGAGAAGGTGGACTCAGTGTGGAGGATCGCGAGAGTGCTGAGGACGATGACCGATTCGTCGTCGCTGCAAGTGACGTGAACGTGCTAGCGGCTGATGAACTGTATGAAGGGTATGAGTCTGTTGGATCAGACGGTGTACTCCACTCTATCTCACGAAGGGCGTCCATGTTTATAGCGTCCAGGGCCAAGTGGCCGCCCAAGGTCTGGATAAAGGCAGCGTCCATACCAACTGCTACCTCCTCAGAATCATCAGCACTGCTCGGATACTCCCTCCGCGTGATAGCTTCTTCGCCGCTGCTGTTACTCTCGTCACTCCCGTCATCTGAGGTCGCGAGTGGCAGATCAGAGTATCCTGGGTTGTCGTGCGATGTGGCGTCACCAGTTCGTGAGCTACAAGACCTAGCAGACTCTCCGATGCTGCGATTCTTCTATTTTGAACCAAAATCTCTGTGGATTCGTGTAGCGAACGAGACCAATCGCTACAAGAACCAGACTGCGCATACGAGAGCTAAAG